ACTACTCTCTCTCTCTCTCTCTCTCTCTCTCTCTCTCTCTCTCTCTCTCTCTCTTCCAAGTGAACTCTATGGATTTGTTGAGCAGCTGATACTGAAGAGCACATTGCATTACAAGTAGACATAAAGACATGGCCAGATTACACAATCATGTATGCTTGCTTAATCCACAAGCCATGAGCAATGAGCTTCACTATCTTTCTGAGATCCTGGATGAAGCAAACCTGCTTTCACAATCGTGCTCTCTCGATAACGCTTTTGCTCGCAGACCATTAAAGTAGCAGATGATCGTAAACTATGGAAGTCAAGCAGTCTCATTACGTATGATGGATTCGGTTCCCAAACAAAGATGGCGTAGCCACGCGCATGCATGCATGGTTTGATTAGCCATGCTACGAAGCACGTCGAACGTTTGCAGCGTTCGCGGCGGGGTTGGCGACGGCGTGTGCGGCGGTCGAAACCGATGCTACCTCGCCTACCCTACTCCCACCGCAACCTCCCGTCCTTGTTGACCCCACCCCCCAACCCTCCCAATCCGCTCAGGCCACGTTGACTTGTCCCACCTGATGGCGACGCCTCAGCGGTGAGTCACGCTTACCCACCCCCAGTACCTACCTCGCCCCTCCCCTCTTCAAGCCCCCTCCCTTTCTTTTGTCGGGAAACGTTTTCCTACTCTCTCGACTACCCTGTCTCTCTCTCTCGGCCGGCGGGCTCAAAACGTCCCGGCCAATCATACTGCAGGTACAGGACATTTGTATTGGGACAGAAGGATGCTGCATGTCTGCTATTTACGCCACCTCTGTCCCTCAGTGGTGCTGTGGAAGAGCTATTCGTCCGGCCGATTACCACGGAACGGACTGCGGTCCCATCGCAACGCAGTTAGGTAGCTCGTTGGGTACCGTTGGAGGGAGGTGGTAAAGAAGAGAGAGAGAGAGAGAGAAGGTGGGGGAATAGGGACAAAGATAAAACCCTCACTACGTGAAACAATTCCTGACGCAAAAACTAAAGCAAAATGGCGCGTCTCCTTTCGTCAGATTTCGATTGGAAGGAACATTCCCCGTTCGCATTTAAATTCTATCCTTTGCGCGGAAGAGTGAAACGGTGGTGTGTGCGAGCGGCGTGGAGGTTAAAGGGTGCAAAAGCGTGGATAAAAAGTCGTCGAATCACAGCCGTCGGTGGCGGCACAACTTGCGATGGAAGCAAAGCCCAGATCGAAGGCTGTCGTAGATCCATATCCCACCTTTCTTTTCTCTCAAATAAATAAATAACCCTCCGGTTTCCTACTTTACCGCAACACACAATTTCCCGTTACCCGAGGCCTTCAATAGGCTAATCTCAACCGTTGATTGGTCATCGGACGGACCACGCTGCGGAACAATGGTATAATTGTAGGGTGGTTTGATCGTGCCCCACACAAATAAGTACTTATTATTCCCCACCACTCCATCCTTGACAAAAACGCCTTCCTTGCTCTCTTCCGTCTCCGTTTTGCCTTTACTCCCGCAAAATGGCCTTAATTACTTCCACTGCCATTATGTGGTGTCACTCTCGAGTCCATAAATACCCCCTCTTCGCTCAATATTCAATCTCATCATCCAAACCCTAGAGAGCAGCAAAGCGACAGAGTAATGGCGTTGGCCTCCTTCGTCTCCCTCGCCTCACTCCTGGCCCTCCTGGCGCCGGCGGCTGGGCGCATTCCCGGCGTCTACACTGGCGGTCAGTGGCAGAGCGCCCACGCCACCTTCTACGGCGGCAGTGACGCGTCCGGCACCATGGGTAAGCCACATTCCTATGATAGTCACCGATCTCTTGCGTCCAGCCTCGAACGAAGCGGGGAGTGACGACGTTTGTGTGCCGGATGCTGGGTTTGCAGGAGGGGCGTGTGGGTACGGGAATCTGTACAGCCAGGGGTACGGGGTGCAGACGGCGGCGCTGAGCACGGCGCTGTTCAACGAGGGGCAGAGCTGCGGGTCGTGCTTCGAGATCAAGTGCGCGGACGACCCGCGGTGGTGCCACGGCGGGAGCCCCTCCATCTTCATCACTGCTACCAACTTCTGCCCGCCCAACTACGCTCTCCCCTCCGACAACGGCGGGTGGTGCAACCCACCACGCCCCCACTTCGACCTCTCCATGCCCATGTTCCTCAAGATCGCCGAGTACCGCGCTGGCATCGTACCCGTCTCCTTCCGAAGGTATTCCTCCTTTTTGTAGAGCTCCTCTGCTCGGATCTTCATCGTTTGATCTTTACGATGCGTGTAGATTCATGCTGGTTTCGATCTGTGCTCTTAGAATTGGCCTTAAAAGACGCCCTAAACATGGAACCATTATTTTGTGAAATAATTACGAACGCGTCCATCTTACGCGCATGGATTACGCGACGATGTGGCTGCGTATGGGGCGTTGGATGGGAAGCCTCCAATGTAAAGGGGCTTTACGCTCCTATGCGACATTTTGATCCCGCGACATCTTTCCCCTAAATGGTATCCTTCTCGTGGCATCAATTCCACCTTCTTCAGTACTGCTTTCCAATGTCCTCATAATCGCTTAAACTTCGTGTCGTTTGTGCGATTCACTCATCCTCTTTCCTTTATTTTACTTATTTTTCTCCATGCAATGACATCCTTCTTTTGGCTGTGTTGTTTTGGGTAGAGATTCCGGTTCCTTTCCCTATCAAAAGTTCACTTTCCAGAATTGTTCCACAGTGTTGTTGAATTGACGAGAGTGCCACTCTCGTCAATATTCTTCGGTCTCCGACGCCTGGTTTAGGACACCGGACAATATATTTCAGGATACAAAGCACACATCTCTCCCAAAAAATATTTTTTTGTTTAGCTGAACTTGTGCAGAAACGAGATACCGAAATCGACCTATGCTCATGTCATGTCTGGCCTTTAAGGGGTCTGACTTTGGTCCGGGAGCAGAATCGAATCAGATTATTGATATCTTCCCATTCCAGCCCGTGAATTATTTTCCTTCCGCTTGTTCTCCGGTCCGCGTTTTGCCCCGCCCTTTATTTTTTTTTTGGGGTTCTCTGTTTTGTCGAAGCAAAATAAAAATATTATCATTTTTTTAAACCTATTTGACCGGATTCCCCACTTTATGTGTGACTCACAGAACACAAAGCTAAAAAGGCAAAAACCCAAAGAAAGAACGTAATTTCCGTTGTCGCGGTATCCTATGCCTCCCTGTAGGGCCGGAAACAAACAAAAGGAAACCGCGTGGGGTCCAGCCCTATTGGGGCTAGCGTGGTGTGATGCACCGTATCGATTTGAACCGACGTGCTTGCTGATTTGTTTGCGGCCGTCCGATCGCAGGGTCCCTTGCAGGAAATCCGGTGGGATCCGCTTCACGATCAACGGGTTCCAGTACTTCAACCTGGTGCTGATCACCAACGTGGCGGGCGCCGGCGACCTCGTCCGCGCCAGCGTGAAAGGGTCCCGCACCGAGTGGATGCCCATGTCCCGCAACTGGGGCCAGAACTGGCAGTCCAACGCCGTCCTCGTCGGCCAGTCCCTCTCCTTCCGCGTCACCGGCAGCGACCGCCGCACCTCCACCTCCTGGAACATCGTCCCCTCCACCTGGGAGTTCGGCCAGACCTTCGAGGGCAAGAACTTCCGCGTCTGACATTGGAATCCAAAGGCTTCGTTACTCTTTCTTTAGCAGCAGTTGCAGTAGTACTAGTGTTTGTGTGTTTTTCGCGCCGTGGATTAGTACTGAGTGGCTTCGGTAGTCGTGAAAGTAAAAGGTAATGGCGACGGCTGAGTGGTAGGAGTGTGCTTGTTGCGTCTGTGTCACTTTGACTGCATCTTTTTTGGAGTCTTATTTGACTGTGAGGTGGTGTGTGGGATTACCGAGCAGTGGGAATAGAGTAGCATACAAAGTTATAGTTTGTAACAGTGGCGGCTGAAGTGGCTGCACAACGAAGGAAATTGTTGTAGCCCGCAGTTGCTCATATATCTGTTATGTCTGATAGCTGTGATGCGACTTCTTTATATTTGTCCATCACAGTGGAGTCTCTGCTTTGCTTGTTATCTAATACAGTGATATGATGAATTTACAAGTGTGAAAATGCTGCATTGTTCAGTTCATGCCTTTGGTTTCCTCAGCAGGATTACATCTCAGTTCGTCAGCCAGTCATATTGATTGGTTGTTAGGTAAATTAGTTTGGTTGAAGCAATCCATGTTAAAGTGTAAAGCAGGGAGACAAAAGGGTACCCCTACACTGAAAACTGATGAGGTGTTTCTTCAAGACTGTCCATCCCATTCCCTCTTGTTGAACCCTTCCTGGAGTCAACATGGTGTAGGTGAATATCCAGTATAGATTTGGCCACTCAATTTTGTAATAGCCAAACCTTCCCATTGACCAATTTGTGACCTTGAATCGATAGATCTGGACAAAATCGGATTGGATTGTAATGCCAGACAAGCATGTTTTGACCTGAATAATAAAATGTTTCAAATGGCTGTCAGGGATGTATGTATTATAAGTGTGTACATATGTGCACGTATATATTCATGTACATATAGAGAGTGTTTAGAAACCCTTCACCTTATGGCCTTTCCTCCTCTGTCGTCGCTACTGTCGACATCGCCGCCACCTCTCTGAGTTCTTCCCCCTGTAAGTCAATGCAACATGTTTCTTCAGAATGAGAGAGCTGAGAGCAGCTGCCAATGAAATAAGATACATATCAACATATCAATAAAAGAAGCAGTAATCTATTCGAATTGGTTCTTTAGGGATACAAGTGAATATTTAATACTGGGCTGTATGCCATTTTGCCTATTATTCATATGATCAATGCTTTCTAATAAATAGATGAATCAGAGATAGTGATTGATTGAATTCGATCCAGCCACTTGGTGCACCCATTCATGGAGACCAGATCAAATCATAATATTTTAAGTTACAACCGATGGATCAAACTTAACCAGACTATTTATTGCTTCCCTTGAAAGCATGGCCAATACGACTTCTTTAGCTAGTGAGACGAATATTTTGCTCACCAAACCGGGGAGGAAGAAAGATTATGCACCCATTGTTGACCACCACTCATTCGAGACAAGGAAGTCTAATGCGGCTCTGCCAAGTGGTGACCAATTGGGATAGTAACGTTTTAGTACTTATAAGGTTTTCTTCTTTTCTTTCTTTCTTTATATATATATATATATATATATATATATATATATATATATATATTCAATTCTTTTAAGTTTTAAGTTCTATCCTTAGTTGAACTTTGATAAGTTTTAAGTTTTAAGTTTCGAATCAATATGTACGTTGAATAGTTTAAATTTTTATATAAATTATTCATATATCAAAGTGGTCTCACATCACCTCCAATTGGAAGGAAGGCAGGCAGGAGAGCCGGACAAACGATAAATGGGAAAGTATTACCATCTCGAGAACAAGTCTCCGACGATAAAGTATTAGCAGCGGTTGCAGAATAAGTTTCCACCCGAAGACAAATCCTTAGTGAGTAGTCCAGAGAGGCAACTCAGGACACAACCTGCGACTGCTTTCGGCAAATTATGGTCACAAGTACCAAAAGGAATTGCGTGAAAGGAACACCAAAATCTTAAATCACGTTGACACAATCAAAGTTGACGGAGATAGGCATCCATCGAGTCCTCCAAGTAGATAAAAATAGCATGCTACAAGTAATCTCTCGTTATCCTCCTCTCTCTCCTCTCTATCATTCCATGTTCCTCTGGCCACGCAAAAGAAGCTGATTTATGCACATCTTCTGATTCATGACCATAATAATCATACTTGGAATCAGACATAGAAAGGAATTATTTGTGTAGATTGGCACGATGAGGAGGTCGGGACGGGGGACTTCGTGGTCGTCGGCGCTGAGCGCTCGCTTTGACCAGCCACCGAGAAGGCTGCTACGAGTTGTTGACCATTGGCGGTGCTTCGAATACGTCTCCTGGGACGGGGCGCTGTGCGCTGTGCGCTGTGCGCTGTCCCGTGGCAAACGTAGGATCCTCGGGCCACCCGATTCTTGCGCCGATAAGCCGTTCGTTGAAATGCTCTTTTCTGCTGATGGGAGAGATCTGCGGTGCGACGACTTGATTAACCCCCAAATCTCACTTCGCTGCCCGTCACTTCTTACCGAAAAGCCCTCGGCAGGTGCTGATATGTCGTGTTCCCACCCGCGCCCGGAACGGAGCTCTCAGATGGGAGTTGGTCCTCCCCAACCTCCACTCTCGCGACGCTCCCCACCCCACCTTCTTCCATTAATATATTGACCTTCTTCTTCACCTCCTCTTCTCTCTCTCTCTCTCTCTCTCTCTCTCCGTGGCTTCTCTTCATGCCTTCGCCTGCTCTAGGGTTTCTCCCCGGCCATGAAGTGCTTCCATTTCTCCAGCGGCGACGCCGGCGGCACCTTCGATGACGCCGGATCCAGGGTCTCCCGCCTCTCCTGGGCACGCTCCCTCAGCATCGCGTCCACCTCCTCCTCGCTCGGACTCGAGCCACGGCGGGCCGAGCTCGACCCCGGCTGGGACCTCCCATGCCCGGCGACCGCCGGGCCGCCCGAGGGCCTCCGCGCGTTCGCGTTCTCGGAGCTGAAGGCCGCCACCAGGGGGTTCGGCCGATCCCTCCTGATCGGCGAGGGCGGGTTCGGGTGCGTCTACAGGGGTGTCGTCACGGTCGCAGGCGACGACGGCGCCGCCGAGACGATGGACGTCGCTGTAAAGCAGTTGAACCGGCACGGGTTGCAGGCAAGAGTTTCCCTCGTTTCTTCGTTTTCGTTGCTGCTGATGGACTCGTGATATAGTTGGGTGTGCATTAATGCTCGGAGCGAGTTGCATTTATTGATCTCCTTTGTGAATCTTATTCGGATGTTGCTTTTATGTTCGAAGAAAACATGATGTAGGTCCTGATCATGTACCGATATCCCTTAAATTGTCTGCATGTAACATCTTTGATTCGACGTTTTTGATTCCGTTGGTGTGATCTTGATTTCGCATTATAAACCGAGCTAGAGCGATCCAAGTTGTCCCATCTTTCTAGGTACTTTCCTGTCTTTTGTGGAAGGCATTCAGATTCAAGTCCTGTTCTTTTCATGTGATTACACCGTGAACACGATTGATCTGTCACAACCTTTGGGTCTGGCTATTGTCTATCCACTGCGACTAACCTTTGATGATCCTCCTGGCTTATCTGCCAATGTGGAAACATTAGTTTCGAATTGTCACGAGCATAACTAAGCTATAGGTCCCAGTCTTCAATGGTAGGCACAGCGGCCATGCCGACCAAGACAAGCCATATGCAAGTCCAATGCTATATTTGTCCCCTTGTTGATACAGTATATGCTGCATGGGTTCGGGGGGCATAGCTGGCATGTGCAACCCCTGGATGTTACCATTTTATGCAATAGCGATGCTTGCTTGTTGCATTTATAGCTGAGTGGTTGTCCTAATTGTACCAGAAACCCTTGTTATTTTGATTTGTTAGACTTGATGTTGAAAAAAACATAATTTGCACGATTTTGCCCAATTTTGGTTGAGAATTTATTGAGTTACTTTGTTTTTTCTGCAGGGGCACAAGGAATGGGTTACTGAAGTCAATTTTCTTGGTGTAGTGAAGCATCCAAATCTTGTCAAGTTGGTGGGTTATTGTGCTGAAGATGATGAGAGGGGGATTCAAAGGCTTCTTGTTTATGAATTGATGCGCAATAAAAGCTTGGAGGATCACTTATTATCTCGAGTTTCATCAGCTCTCTCATGGTCTCTAAGGTTAAAGATTGCACTAGATGCTGCACGTGGTTTAGCATACCTCCACGAAGAAATGGATTTTCAGGTAGTCATCTATTGGACTCCTTGGTTATATGCGATTAGAGTTTGAATAGTTGGCAACTCATTCATAGATGCCATAACATGAAGTTGAAGGTCACTTACAAACATCAATTCATTTGATTGATGGACTTAAAAATATCAAAGCTAGTTCCTGTAAGTTTGAACCAATTAATCGAGCAGCTGATAAAGGTAATAAAACGTCGACTTGATTTTAGTATTGGTGTGGCTTCTACTTCTTTGACATACTTATATCCTTTGATAAATACCTAAACTATTGGAAGCTTTCATAATGATATTAACAACATGTATACATGCTGATATTAAGATGATTTAGATTTAAAAGTTGGTACAGTTCAAAAGATCAAGGATGATAAATTATCTAGACTTCATTTGTCTTTATTTCTTTCCAACTTATCTCAATATTTTTGTAAAACAAAGAAAAAGACCCAAATGACTGATTTGTACACATGCAAATTCACCAAGGGAGATGTATGAACAACTAATTTGCATCGAATCTCACCTGGAGAAAGTGTGTCAAGCTACATAAGGATAAGGTCCCATATATATTGAATGATCTTAGCAAAGTCACCAGCAGTTGGTTGGCTAAGGGAACTTGTCGAGGTTGTTCAGTGCTTCAGCTCATATTAATGTTTTATAATATCATACACCAGAAAAAAAATATATCTTGTCTTTTGTGTTGGAATTATTGTTTTGAAAAGGTTTCGTAAAGCACTAGTGAGGAATGTAAAATATTTTTAAAATAATTATATAAAAAAACCCAATTAATTCAGGCAGGAGGGAGAATGTCCTAAAAGACACATGCTCCTTATCATGCAAGAAACTTTTTAAGTGTTCTCCAAAAGAACAACCAAATCCTATTCACTTTCATGATTCTTATGGGTACAACCACATGGAACTGTAATGAGGAGTATGACAATCCATGCAAATGGCTGGAACAGCCTTTTCCTTCAGTTATTTCCTGTTTTTATCTCTCCTACAATTGGATTTTTTAGAACTGCAATATTTATTTTTTGCTTTTTTGCTGATATCGCTATCTTGTTCAACTATTAACCAAATGCCGTAGGAATTACACTAGAATGGCATTTTCTAATTCTTTTACGGAACAATTTTTCTGTTCCTACTATTAGTATCTGTTTTCTAAACATGGGCTTTGATCACAAATGATTCCAGTGTATCCTTCATAAATTGTTCAACCTTCATACTTCTAATTGTTCCATCAAATAACAATTTAGTGGCTGCATCTAGCCTGCGGTGAGCAGCAACATGATCCCATTATTTTAACATTCATATTTTGAGTCACTTTCCATTATTTTAACATTGTTTCTATATTTTTTAACTAGAAATCTACCTCAGCAGTCTTAAATTGGTCTGCTCAACATATTGTATGTCACGAAATGATAATTCAGATATTTAGGAAGAAATTTAGTTATTTATTCAGGAGAGATTTGTTACAAAATCATGATAAGTTTTGAAACCAACACTATATATTCTTAATCAGTCTGTGGAGAATATAGTGATTTGCTTCATGATTCAGATGTTCAAGAAGAAACTTGTTACATGTTCATGAGGAATTAGGTAGTGATAAGTCTTGAAATCAACATTTTATATTCTTAATTAATCTACAGAGAAATTACTGTTTTGCCCAAATAGTTGGGACTTACGGTTTTGTTGTTGTCGTATAGAAATGTTTGGCTTCACGGTTTTCCTGGTTTTAACACTTTCTTCTTTTTCTAATTTAAATAATCCATTAATTTTATTGAATTTTAAATAAAATTAGATTTACTAATAAAACACAAAGTCTCACTATTTTCAAGTCCATGGTTATGCGTTTCACTCTAATCAGTGTGTTCTTGGTGGAACATGTCAATCCGATGGACTGTCAGGTCAACAACACAGACCATGACATGTGCCTCCCAACACTGTGTATATGTTTCAGATTATGTATTGACTGTGTTGGCACACTGGCGTGTATCAGATCTGTACTGATCCAGCTTGACCAGTGCAGACCTGGCAAAATTTGAAGCCATACGATGTATCAATCATCTAAAATTTTACGCCAGCAGATAACACATCTTTTTTTAGCTCCGGTACTTGAAATGTCAAACCATGGCCAAGTCATCTAACATTTTAAGGCAACGGATAACACATTGTTTTATTAATTTACATTTTAGCTTTCCAAGACTCACGGTCACTGTGGGCTGCTGGAATGGCTTGAGACTAACATGTGTCACTTGAATTAAATTGTGATGAAAATTACATAGAATAAAGACTCTCAGTACCTCCCTCTCTGATCTTAAGTTTTCATCACTGTCAAGTCATCTACAAACTTAAGCTGATAATAGGGTTTTATTCATTATTTTTTCTGATGCTCCCAACAATAGGGAATGATATTCATCTTTTTTAAACCACTAGCCTTTTTTTTTTAAGCCTACTGTGGTTGTGTAGATGAGCTCTTATTTGCGGCTTGTTGTGACTTGTTACTTGGTCCAACAGGCTTAATTTGCAGAAGAAATTATCAAGAACGGAAGGTTGTCGTTCATTATCATGTTAAAAACAAAGATTATATAGTGTTGTTACCTTTGCCTCTCACTCAGCTAGTGGCAAGATATTGGAGTTGTTTCATTCCTTGCCAATGGTACCAAGGCATATATAGAAACAAGGTAGGCAAATGCCATTGAATATTGAATGTGTAGTGGCACATGCAGTAGGCTATAGCATGTATTTGTACTTAGCAGCATGATCTTTATAAAAAAAAGGTCTCATAATATTGGCACAGGTGGCATATTGCTTTATTCCTAGCAAATGGATTACCTAATATTCAGATGCTTGCTTAATTCTTCACATTCCTGAATTTAGATGCCGACTTATTCTGAAAGCTAGATGACCATTTAATTGTTTATTACTAGATATTTATGATTTGTGCAACTTTTTATTTCATTCATAGGTTACTATGCCTTAAAAGGTCATTGATTTCAAACCGTCACAGGTCATTCGATTATGTGACCACTCTATAAGGCCTTGGTTTCTCTTTTTATTCCTCATGTATAGATGGACAGAATGTTGGTTCTGCATTGGGTGTTTGAGTGATGAAAGGCCATATTCAATTTATTTAATAATTCTCTACAGTACTGAACTGAACAGTAAAACAAATAATTCCCCAATTTAGCTACGACAACAAGCTATTGTATCTCAACAAAATAGGTATGAATCCATACCCATAAGATCTGACAAGTTTTACCCTTATCATCAGCTTGCCAATGCAATTCCTGAGTTAGCCTGCTGATTTTAATTTCTAAAGGCCTCAAAATTGAATTTTTACCGCAATTTTGACTATTACCTCCACTATAACCCTTAAACACCTGTGCTTTAGATCCCGTGCATCAATTATCAGCTTTCATTATATGACAATTCTACTTTAAATTTCATGTCCCATATATGAAGGTTAAGGTGTTCTGGACTTCCAATCAATCCTAATCCTAATCATACTCGAATACCTATTCTATTTGGTAAAGCCACCGGTCTCATGTGAAACTGAGTTTCTAAGTAAATCTTTGATGTTCTTCCTATATCACAATTTATGTTATACTGTATCATTAATGCTTCCTGTGTTTTAAGTTTCCATAGCAGCAGTCGAGATCATGGTGTGATGGATATTTCCAGTTCTCTTCTTGTACTATATAATATTAGCTAGGGATTCCTCTTTTTCTTCCTTAGTTTGGCATCTGGCATCTTTCATTATGTACATGTTTTTACCATAGAATAGAGTAACAGCTTCTCTATCTTTGTGTGTATACGTGTGCTGCAAGTTACTTGGTAGATGTTTGAAAATTTTGTTCTTTTCACTTTCCATTTTATGTACTCATTTTATATTCTTTTGATGCAGTTAATATTTCGGGATTTTAAGACATCCAACATTTTGCTAGATGAAGATTTCAATGCCAAGCTCTCAGACTTTGGTTTTGCTAGGCATGGCCCAACAGCAGGAGTTGGTCATGTTGAGACATCAGTAAGTTTTGATTATAATGATCTGGCTTTTGTCATATAATGCATGACCGGATCTTCAATGTTGCTTAAGCTTGAACATTATCTATACTTGTCTATATGTATCACTTACTGAACAAGTACTTTTAATGAAGAAACTGAACGAACAGGATAATATCTCAACTTTGACTGCATCTCCACTGCAAACTCCATAAAATCGATTTGTTGAACATTTGATTATCCCTAACTATTATGGAGTGGATTTTAGTCAATTTGCTATGTATTTATTTTTTGAAGCTCACATGAACTTTTAACAAGCCATCGACAAGGCTTATTTACATTCCTTTTTCAACTGTTAAAAGATCTTATGTTTGTGAATTGCTGCCAGCATCTAAAAGTTTAATATTCTTCTTTAGGCTACAAATTTTCAGAATTTATCCATTATGCATACCATGTTAAGTAGCCTATTTCTGTTGCTTTCTTGGCAGGTAGTTGGCACCGTTGGCTATGCTGCTCCAGAGTACATCCACACCGGAAAATTAACTGCTAAAAGCGATGTATGGAGTTTCGGTGTGGTTCTTTATGAACTTGTAACAGGAAGGCGGTCCTTAGATAGGAACCTACCAAGAAGTGAACAAAAGCTCTTGGAGTGGGTAAAACCTTTTGCAACGGACCCCAAAAAGCTCCACACTATTATGGATTCACGACTCGAAGGGAAGTATTGCTTAGAATCTGCTCAGAATCTAGTGGCTTTGGCAAACAGATGCCTAAAGAAGCAACCAAAGTCACGTCCTAGAATGAGCGAGGTGGTCGAGATGCTTGATCAGATCATTAAGACGTCTAACAGTGAGACTACAGAAACCATCACCAGTACATCAATCTCTCCGGGGGAGGATGCTGCTGACACGAAAAAGCTGTCAAGAGATAAAAGTTCCAGGAGCAGGGTCTTCGAAATCAAGGATATGCTCACCCTAAAGAATAACTCTGTGGGGAGGTTATACTGGAGATCATTGGCTTCAGGACCGATTGCAAGGATGGCAAGGAATCGGCCATAAGCTTGCATGGTGGAGTTCAATTCTTGGTTTCTTTTGGTACTGGTGGATGAGTTAGCAGCAGGCAAGGTTTTGGTACTAGTTCTACTGTTCTACTTGAATCATCTCGATCTCTTTCCTTCACCATTCACAGAAACGACAGAACGGATGTCTGTTCCTGTGTTCAATTGTTTAGCATCTTGCGTCTGAACGACGCTTCTTGGTGTTCAACCGATGTACAAAGTTTTCAAAGCAGAAGAACAATGTGTTTTTCCTGGGAGAGAACGTGGAAGTGCACCGAGGCATTGATACAACTATACTCCAAAACATTTGTTATACAAGTTGGGAGTGAGCAATCCAAAAAGGATCTCTAAGAACTCTGGCAGGTGGTAACAGAGGTATATATATATATGTTCATTGGAATTTAAACCCAAAAAAGGACTTTAAATTAGTGCCATTTTTTCGAATAAATCTACAAAAAAAATATCGTAGAGGTAAATGATTCTTTGGTTCACTGTATGAGTAGCTGCATCTCATGTCATTTGTCCTTGAATCAGGAAGCCACCCGACTCTTTGGCTGCTGCATTAAATCGGTACTAAAACTGTCTCTCCTTTGGAGAGCTTGCAAAACAAAGACTGAGATGAGTCGATGATGCAAACGCAGGCAACAGTATCTTAAGGCTGTATATGCCTGTCCTCTCTAGCATAAGACCACACTTCCAAGTGACAACTGGAAACCACCACATCCCTCAAGGCAGTGGGCAAAGAACCCCTCACGACCTTGTCGAGGGACAGAGATGCAGAGATGGTCAAATGCAATTATAGGCAGCCATAGATAGATGCTCCCCCATCCATCACAACCCACCACTCTTCTTCCGCACGACCACCTTCTCCTTCTCCTCCTCCTCGTCCTCTGTTCCCACGACTGGACTGTTGCAGCATAAAGAGGAGATAAAATGAGGTGGTGGACACAGAATCATGGATCAAGCCACCTGATGTCTTGTGTGCTTACTCAGTGGCCAACCACATGGCTTGCCAGAAGCCCACTGAACTGAAGGTGGCCATTGGAAGAGCTGCATCTAATTTTTTTTTTCCTTTCGATACTGTTCTTCACTCCTCCTGACCTCTGTTTGTGGCATTGATGTGGAGTTCAACTGGTTCTAATTCATTAGACATGCATTGTTAATCCTTCTTGTTTCAGTTTCCTCTCTTCTTTTCCCACTGATAGTCTCAGTTAAATTTGTTTGATTGGCAGTAGAGTAGATAAATCTAATTAGAGTAGAAATGGAAGAGAAGCAACGACAAACTCTCCAAGGAGATAAATGGGAAAAAATATATGTGAATATAGCATCGATCGAATAGTTTCTGCATAAACAGGATGTATATTTCAAGAAGATTAGCACAAAAGCTAATCTTCTATCTTGTCAAGTTGGTAAAGAGGGACCTCATCGTGGTTAAGCAATCAATTAAAGTTGCGGCTTCGAGAGAGTCGTAGTAATCATACATTTTGAAGCTCATTCATGTAACACATTAGTAATCATCAAGCCCACAAGCAACTTTACATGCCACATTAATATTTAGTCTATTGTGCTCACTGGTGATTGAACTTTTGACCTATTTTGTTTGAAGGGACGTATGCCTCCGAGCTGATCTCACCTTGGTCGATGTGAAACATACCTACTTGATAGGATACCCCAACTCACTTGCATTGCCTACTTAACCTGAATCAACCTCCTCATGAAAGAGTGACTTACAATGGAGAAGAAGGCTGTTTATATTGGCTTGCTATTCGGTTTGTGTCACCCTAATGAGATTGACTATCCCTTCAGAGATTTGTAGCATACTCGTCATGTTGGCCACTTGGCATGCAGCAATGCCGACAGCTCGATATCAAACACCGGTTGACTTGCATCAGGGGAAGACGGTGGGGACACAAGGAATGAAGGGAAGGAAGAAAGGTGTCGACTTGGATATTGGTTTCGTTGGATTTCGCAGCTTCTTCACACCTTCTTCCAAAAGGTGTCTGGAGAAGCAAGACATTCCTGGGAAGAAGAAACTGGGAGTGACAATGGCTGGTGCTGACTGAGTACAGGAAGGGAGACTGTAACTTGATGTCATCGGCCTTCGTTTCACGCAAATTATGAATGGCTATAGACCTAACATGTCTACCGGACTGAATCGTTCAAAGGCACCAATGGTTTGCCAAGATTAGCTAACTCATTGTGGAGTGCAAAGGGGGAAGGTGAAGACAATAAATTGTGGGGATAGTGGTTCATGAACTCATTCCACTTGACTCACGAATGATGGCGGATTTGAAGCCCTCCAATGTGCGTTAGCAACCAATGTGTCTGTGACTTGTCTTTTTGTTGTTCCATTTGAGGTCTTTGGAAGCTCATTTCAGCGTCTATTCTCGGAGAGACATTTGTCAGTCTCGCAAACTCTTATTTCTATATACTGAATGGCAATTCATTGTAGAGCAGCTCTGCTATTGCAATGCATGTGACCAAGTGGCAACCATGATCTGGTTGACCCCGATCTAAGAGTTAGATTTTTGATATCCTTGTAACATGTATGGTGGCACAGTGTATGGCTTAGTACTATCCCATCCCATTTTGCCTTTGATATTTATTATTAGGGATAAATCTGTATAATGGTATTTGATATAATATTTATATCTTTTAGTTTTATTTATATTTTGTATAGTATGTAAAGGGCTTGTAGTATATTTGATAGCTTCATTTTAATTAACTCGTGTGTTTATTTTAGTTCTATAAATATAAATATAGATAAAATTATTCAAAATTAAATTATTTTGGGAGTCTTTTAGTTTCGTAAAATGATACAAACTATCAATTAGTATATCACCTTGGAGCTATATGGGCAGTACGTTGGATGGATATTTGAGACAATCGAGGGCTATTTCATTGTTTTATTTTACAATCATGTGAATATTTATGAAGACTTTTATCATGATAAATCATATTAAATTTTATGTTTACTAAAATAGTGACTTGTAGGATTCTGAGTTAAACGTTTCCTCTAATCTATCTTCTTTTTTGCAGATCCTTAAGGAACCATAAGATATTTCAATGAGGTTGATTCTTTATGAACAAACACGCAAGGATATTATACGACTAGACGAAATCAGCTACGTTACGAAATCAACTATCCTTTGTTAACACTTCATATAAATATCTGTTCATCGGGTAAAGAAGGTTTCTAATCTCAAAAGATACTATGTGTTTCTAAAATTGCAGAGGTAATGAAGTAGCGAAAGAACAAGGAAATCCATCAGTTAAAAAAAATGAGCAACGACCAAGGGAAGAAGCTTTCAAACTTCAACTTGCTGTGTTGGCTGAATCTGATGATTCCTGCCACCCAGAAGTTTACATCTTTGACTTGCATGGATAAAGACATTTCTCTCTCTCTCTCTCTCTCCAAAGCAAGAAATGGATAAGGCACTCAGGACCTCATCCTGCAAGACTAATACTGAAGCTACATGCAAAGACCGTCCTTTGAAGAGTCTTTTTGAGTCTGCTCCTTTGATTTGTCTTTAAGCAAGTATTTGTCTTTCCTGAATTATTTTGAGGAGTTGTGTTTTCTGTGGTGTAAACCATCAGACATTCGCTCACTTGAAGACAAAAAAAAGTCACATTTTCTGGATGTTTTCAACGTGAATTGCAGAATATTCAAACATGTGTAATGACTATGTAAACAAGTTCAGACAAGGAGAAAATGGCTGCCAGATAGGGATGAAATTAGGCTGCATAGCCATTAATTTTATTTGAAGTCAAGCACTTGAATCCAAATCTGTATCTCAACTAAATTAGATAGACTCAAGCATCTAAAAAGAAAAAAAAGATCTACTTTCATGAATTATAAAAAGAAAAATTGTTCAATTCATCGACAATTATAAAAAGAAAAAAAAGATCTTTTTTTTTCAAAACAATATTTTTAATCCTTTCATTTAAGGCATTTTTTCCCACTCAAGTCTATTTACAAAAACTTTGTTTGCATTACAGACTCAGAATAGTTTATCTATCTGTGACATGCATAATGCAATAGAGGAAGTGTATAAGTGAATATTTGAAGTAATAACAAAAAAAATTTTATTTATGGTGGAAAGAGTCATTAAGCACATAAACAAACATCAAAGAGGTTCTACAAATTGCAATCAGCAGTCAGTCAGACCATCCATTCCACTTCCAACTCTCAACACTAAAAAGGTGTATCCACTTCATTAGTGATGCACTTAACTGTAACACACTTGATATCTCAGTCCAGAATAAAATTTTCAATCATATTCCAGTAAAATCTTAAGATACTCCTTCTCTTGTGTGAAAAATATCCTATCCTAATCACTCTAAAGTTCAAAAGATGTCTACCAAACATCTTTCAAAACCCATATACTAAGCATCCATTGTTGTGAATTCTTTCTCATAATAAATTGAATTCAAAAGACTAAATAGATCGATCCTTCCATATCTCATTTTGATCAGAACCTCGTGTGTCATGCACTGACAACCTTTTACAATTTTAAAGAGGTAAATAGGAATGAAGAATGCTTGCAAAGCCTATTTATCGGATGCTGTAGGATAAGGTAGAATAAAACATTTAAAGCTATGGCTCCGTCTCATCATCTTTCGCCTCTCGTCGCAGTGGTCAAAAGCAGCCATCCTCCACCCACAACCATATGGCCTTCTTTCTCACACAAAGAAAGGGTTAAAGAGGAAGCGCAGGTGTGATGGCTGTCACTGATTCCATGCCACCACACCCTGGTGCATCATTTATGCTCTTACACCGGCAAACTGCACCCCCATCCTCCATCCCTTCAGCTACAACCCGCACGGAATCTTGAATTCCACATTGAAAGCTCCATCAGAAAACATAGGATCCTTGAGGCCATCACTTCCTCTCATTCATATGTCTCCCTGGTAAATGTCACTTCGTCTTCCACCATGTAAAACAGGGAGAGACGAACCGCCAAAAGCTTCAGGGGTGAAAAGCCCTCGCTCGTAAGATCTACTGGACGGCGACGTCAACCCTGAAATCGATGCCCAGTACGTGTCGGTTTTTGGTTGGCTATAGGCCGTGGACCGTGGTGGGGGTGTGCAGCTTGGCACGGGAGAAATGAATGCGACCGGTGTCCCTGACACCGGCGACCGCCACGCGTCGGTCGTTTGACTTGCCCTCTACGCCTCTTTTTACTACCCCGTCTCGTCCATATTTATTCCGTAACCGGAAACTTCGGCTCTGGGAAACAACACCTGAAGTCAACTCCTCCACGATTTTTTTCCCCGCACATTTCAAAGGCCCCTCTCGCCCACAAGTCAACTCTCTGTCTCTCTCTCTGTCTCTCTCTCTCTCTCTTCAAGCCTCTCTTCTCTCCCCC